CCTTCATGTCCTTGCGCTCCTGTAGCTGGAGATCGGTACGCCACACAAACCGTCGAAGATCTTCTCTCAATGTATGTTGCCACCAACCCATCGGGTGCTTGGTGAGGTAGATTCGTTGGTGGTTCGCCCTCTCAAAGTAGTCGAAGGCTGGCCATGTCCATTGTAGGTCCTTCAAAACAGAGCGTATCCTGTTGATGGGACCTGTGTCGTTGTCCTTCACGGTGAATGTTACTCGATGCTGCAAGATGTCCCAGCACTGCTTCGCACGTCGTAGTAGTCGTGCTGCGCTTGGGCTGGAGAAGAGCCTTCTCGCAATCACCAGTGGTTGTGCAGTAGCTATCTGCACAGGGTCAAGCAGATGACCTCGAGTAACAAGAGTAAGTGTCATTGCTGGGGATCGATATGCTCTCCCTCTTTGCCACATGCTTTTTATCACTGCCGATCTAAAGTTAAGATGATTGTGTTTCGGCAGTCGTCGGTATTCTAATCCTGGCGCAAGTCGTGGTAAGGCTGCTGTAGCCAAAAGACGCTGCTTTCCTTGGAGTCCGAGTGGGGCGGCACCGGTACGCTGAGTCACGCGATTTGCTGAGGTATACCTTCGGCGTCGCTCCGCCTGTGGGCACATTCCCAGCGTACATATCTCTCCACCCACCAGAGTAAAATTCCGCACAACCGATGCTTGGACGTGTCCTTGAGCGTGTAGATGGTGCCTTAGCTCCTTCTCAGCCTTGATCGATGTGGCGAAGTGCTTAGTCTTCTCAACATTGGTCTGAGTACATGAATGCTGATCAAATTCAACTGAGATAGTTGTTGCATTGGCAGTCCGAATGGCATGCTGAGGTCCTTCGGCTCTGAAGTTGCCGTCGTCGATGAAGGATGCGACCTTGACCTCTGCTTCTTTCTCAAGGGCGTGGCTCCAAATCGACATCAATGCAAGTGCCTGCTGCAGAGACCAGGAGTCACCTTGGATAAAACCGTTGCTGCGCTTTGTCTCTGGGCCTACTGCACGTGCTACCTTCCATCTCGCTCGAAGATCCTCGTAGAAGATGGTGGACGCATGCATGACACCCTCAGGGCAGCCCAGTGCTTTCATCAATCTGTTGCCTATCTCGTACTCGAGGAGGTCAAAGAACTTTCGGCGATCTGCTGAACATCCTGAGGTCGGAGTACCTGTGATGTGTGCATATTCAATATCCAGCGCCAGTTCCCAGGATACAGCTTGGTAGTGATATCCTTTCCTGGCTCCAATAGCTCCATCATGCAACCAAAGTTCACGCCAGGATGCCATTTGAGTAAATCTATCGCCTGTGACAGCAGTGTATATTGGGCTCAGATTGGTGATTGGCCTCGTGTCCGAAATTGAAGCTGTCCACACATTGTCTGGCTCAATCTCTGCAGCAAGGTCAGCCTCCTGATCCCACTTCGGGAGGCAGCTCGTAATTCCAAGAGTCATTGCACGCGGCCATCGCAACCAAGCATCCTCTACTCCTTTGCAGAGGGTGGCGAATAGGTCACATATGCAGGGTGGTAGTAGTCGAAGTTCAGCAACTCTCCATCCGTCAGCTGCGGCAGCGCGGTGCACATTCATTTTGCAAAATTGTCGATGAAGTCGATGGCCTGTTATGTCCTCGATCTCACATGGATGTTGCTTGATGTATTGGCCGAAACGGGTCTCGAACTTGTCCCATGTTTTCAGCTCGCCTTTGTTGAAGATCTTGCTCCAGAAAAGATCAACCTGCTGGAGCATCTCCTTTCTTCGTGTGTGAATCTGCGTAGGATCTGCATGACCACGTACTGCATGAATTGTTTGGTACTGTCGTTGTTTGATCCACGCATAGACCTCACGTCCACCAGAATATCGTAGAGAATCTCTCAATGTCTTGCGCCAGCTGTCGATCCTCGCCAACTTGCGCTCTTTGACGTGCTTGCTGTGTTTGTTCTCCAATGCTGTGGTCCATTCCCCAATCTGGGTAGAACTCGGTAATCCAATCGGTATGCCAGCTGGTAAGTTTAGCTCGCGTCGTAGTGGTCCTCGTACTTTGCGCCAGAGCGCTTAGGACTTCAATGTTGCAGAAAAGTTGGGATGTGCGGCTCCTCGATGCTGTTGTAGTGCCAACTCGGCCAGGCGGCTGATGAGGTTCTCCAGACGTCGCAAAATGGTCGCCGTGGGTCCTTCTTTCAGCTTGTCTCGGCCTGCAGGTGGTGCCGTACTTTCCCACGTGGTAAGTTCAGGCTCTTGACTTCGGCCGTGATATACAGCTCCAAAGGTAATGCCAGTGTGCTCAAGTCTCTTCTCCAGGTAAAGCTCTCCAATCTTTCCGACCAGGGCCCAAGCATCCTCGGCCCGCTCGTCAATAAGTGCTTGCTCGAAGGCTTCATAGTGTACTTCAATACATTGGCGTCCAAGGGCATCGCTGTCCTCGGCGCTGATCTTGATGACAGACTCCACTGGGTAAGCTCGAGGGATCCTGATACTGTCGAAGGTGTTCGTGAGCAGTCCAACGTTCAGTGTCATCTCGAGCCCCAGGTGACTTTTGATTCCTAGGTCACGTCGTAGTCGGAACGTCTTGATGGCATCCCTGGCCGCCGTGTTGACTATGATGAGGTCTGGGCGACTCACGTTCGTGCCGTGTGTAAACTTGTCCCACGAGGGGTCAACTCCATATGTCGGCTCAGCTCCAAACATAGCACCTACATCATGCCAACGTCCTGTGGCAAGAATAGCTGCAAGCGTGGAGGAGTGCCCCGTAGTAGTATTCGCATCCATGCAGATGACCACAGCTTGATCGCCAAGGCCTTCAGCATCCTCAAAAGTATAGTGCAGATTCCGATCATTTCGGGTCCTGATCATATTGTCATGGCCAGCTTCGTTGTAGAGGTTGACGAAGTGGATGGGACGCGAGCCAAAGAGAGCTACAACCCGAAGCCAGCGGGTCGTCGCATACATCTCCTTGGCTGCTCCATACTTGCGCCCACCTGGGAGCGTGACCAGAGATCGCTTAGCAATAGTGGCAACCCCACCCTGCTGCGTACGATGATATTTATCTCCAAGGCATTTTTGAGGTCTGAGTGGGTGCCCAAAAGTGGCCTCGTACCCATGAGCTTGACAAGCTTTTGAGCAACCCATTTGTTGTTTATAATCCAATCGCGTTTCTTGCAATAGAAGTAGGTCGACGTCCATAGTATCCATACGTCCCACGAACGAATTCCAAGATGTAACATTTGCTGATAGAATAGTAGCCAGAGCAGGGATCTCTCCCTCCACTGCCGCCCTCTGAGGTGGCGGCTGTTTGCCTCGCATACGTCGCGAGGCCATCATTGCTCCGACTTTATTTCCAAGGACGTCTTGAGCTTCTTTGTGAACTCCTCAAGTTCGGCCTTCCGTTTGCGTTCTTCATCGATAACAAGGGTCCCTGTCGCTGGCGATGGTGGTGCTGATGTGGGCGCTGGGGCGATCATCATGTCCAAACATCGTGCAAGTCCCTGACCTTGAAGATGTAATTGTGATAATATTGCAGCATTGTGACTTCCAACCGCGGCTCCGATGGCTGACGTTAGAAATTCACGAAATTCTTTTGATAGTCCAGCTCCTGCTTCTGGCTGCTGAGCGGGTTGTTGTGCACGAGGTTGCATCTGTACATCCTGAGCTTGCACCGGCACGTTCGGTCGAGTCAATTGCGTGGCAATGCTCTTCTTAGTTGTGGCAGGTGGCTTCGGCGTAGACGTCGATGTACTTGCAGAGTATTGAGTGACAAGCTCAGCCCACGTAGGTGCTGTGGTAGGAGCCTCCGTAATCTTTTCCACTCTTGGATTGATCGTTGCCTGACATCCTCCAATAGATATGTCACGACTGGCAGGGGCTGACTCAGCACGCACTCGCACCACTGGGATACGTCGTTTGCCGTTGCCTCGCTGCCGTATGCTCACAAATTCAGATTGCCATCCCATCTGCGTCCTGAGCTGGTCGCAGAGGGCCTTGCCGTCGATCAGCGCTGGCAGCGGGGAGATCTCGTAGATCGTTGCCGCTGGTGGCGCTCTCTGTTGTAGTGCTTGCCATGCTGCTGCTGCACTTTGCTTTTTGACACGAAAGAACAAGTTAAGTGATTTGAAGTGATAACCGAGGCCGCATGCTCCTTCCAGGGTCGTCGTCAGCTCGATCACCTCGCTGATAGTCTTGCCACGCTGGAATGGTACAAACTCCTCATCTTCTTTTTCTTGTTTGAGTACAGCTCCATCGCTCCCAATGTTCGATCTCTGAAAGAAAACTCCATCAGGACCAGAGACTTCACGAAGCTGTTGGACTCTATTTGCTGGTATACGAAATAACGCTGATATCACACGCCGACCTGCATCATCCTCATTGAACATGCGCCCGCTGTAGCATATTACTTCCAGGTCCGTCGGGATGAGCTTGGTCTTCACAATATTGGCCATCTCGGCGTCCAAAACGCGCCAAGGCGGCAGCTCGTTGTACTTCTTCCGTTGGCCTCCTCCTCCTGCTTCAGCTCGCTTGTCGCGGGCCGCTGTAGCTTGTCGGTGAAGACGTGCCAGTTCTTTGAATAGCTTCTCTGTCGAGTGTTCTTCCAAGACCGCCACAGACATGAGAACCTCTGACTGGCACTCGATCTTTGTGGGGACACGCGTAGGTTTGATATCCGTACCCTGCACACCAACGTGTTGCCAGACAAACAACTTGCGTAGCTCACGGCGTCCATCTGGGTGGGTAAGCGGTACACTTAATAATGATATTTTATCCGTCAGCCCTCTTTGTGCGCACTGAAGGACAAGATCTTTCGGAAGACTATCTGGCGGCTGCGCCAAGACGAACCCAAAGGGGTCTTTCGGCAACTCTTTGCTCCAGAAGTCCTTGTCTGACAGAAGCTGCGCCAGCTCGTTCACTGTGACCAGGTGGATCCGCTTCATGTCATCATATTGCAATGGTAGCCCACGTACAGTCGGTAGTGACCAGTCTGCATCGTCGAGCTTGGTTGTCAGCTGCCATGTCGGCTGTGGTGTGGTCGCTGACTTCTTTTTCTTTTTCACTTTCTTCTTCTTGGGCTCCGAGTCCGTGTCAGGGAGCTTCGAGCCGAGCGGTCTCTCTTTGAGCCACTTAGTGATCTCTGGAAAGATTTTCTCGGCCTCCCAGGAGGCCCAAAAGGGGCCCTAAGAAACCCCAGAACGGCGCCCAAGAGGCCTCCAACCTGCACTTTTCCTCCCCCTCCCCGTCCTCCAGACTACGTCCTCCCGACTACTATCCATGAACCCTCTATTGTCGTCGTCGCCGTCGTCGCCTTTTTCATCCCCGCACCCTACTCATCGCCCACTTCCTCCTCCTCCTCCTCCTCCTCCTCCTCCCCCTCCTTATCCTCATCCAACTCTTCCCTCCCCCCCCTCCCCGCATCGGCAGATGTTCCTGAAATGGTAGGAGGCCCCCGGGAGACCAACCACGAGATCCCGACCAACATCCTCTAACCCTCTGCCGTCGTCGTCGTCGTCGTCGCCGTCCTCACGCCCATCTCCTACTCAACCTTTTCCTCCTCCTCCTCCCCGTCCTCCACTTCGTTCTCATCCTCCAACTACTCCTCCCTCCCCCCGTTCAGGAGGCCCAGGAGGAAGCCCCAGGAGGTCACCAGGAGGTCCCAGGAGGCCCCCGGAGGCCTCCGCAACTCGGAGCTCTGAGACGCCGCGCTCGAGGTGGTCCCGCCCGTTTCGCCTGAGACTTCCTCGCAGCACGTTTCGCCCGAGACATCGTTGCAACTATGGGGTTCGAAATGCCGCGCGCGAGGTGGTCCAGCCCGTTACGCTGGAGACATCCTCGCGACTCTGGGCTCCGAGATGCCCTGCGCGAGGTGGTCAGGCCCATCTCGCCTGAGACATCCTCGCAACTCTGAGCTCTGAGATGCCGTGCGCAAGGTGGTCCGGCCCGTTTCGCACAAGACATTCTCGCAACTCTGACCTCCCAGATGCCGCGCAAGAGGTCGTCCAGCCTGGGGGCCCAGAAGACCACATGTTACATATCCTCCGTGGGACCCTGGGAGCCCCAGGAGGCCCCAGAGAGCTTCAGGAAGCCGCAGGACGCCCAGGACAGGCCCCAGGAGTCCGCAGGAGATTCCCAGGAGGCTCCCAGGAGGCCCCAGGAGACCCCCTATCAGAACGTGTCAAGTTAATGCACATCCGGTGCCGATTCGTTGATTTTCCTGCTCTTGTGGCCCCCCCCCCATTTTGGGGGGGCCCGACGGCCACATGTTAGATATCCCCCCCTGGGAGCCCCAAAAAGCTTCAGGAAGCCCCAGGTGGGGTCCAGGAGGCCACAGGAGGCCCAGGAGGAAGCCACAGGAGGTCACCAGGTCCCAAGAGGCCCCAGGAGGCCCCCGCAACTCGGAGCTCTGAGACGCCGCGCTCGAGGTGGTCCGGCCCGTTTCGCCTGAGACATCCTCGCAGCACGTTTCGCCCGAGGCATCGTCGCAACTCTGGGGTCCGAGATGCCGCGCGCGAGATGGTCCAGCCCGTTTCGCCTGAGACATCCTCGCAATTCTGGGTTCCGAGATGCCGTTCGGGATGAAGAGGAGGTGGAGGAGAAGGAGGAGGAGGAGGAGGAATGTTTTAACATGCCATGCCAGCCCGCACTGGACGGGCACGCAATCGACCTTGGAAACCGCAGTGGGTCTAACATGATCGACCTACGAACCCGGAAAGGAATATAGAAATGTAAAGCATGGCATCGTTTCAAAGACACCTGATTGGGCGACGGGCGAATGCAATGCTGAATGCATCGATTTTGATGTACCGTGCCGAGGGCTGTGCTGTGCTGCGCCGTGCTGATGCTGAACTGCGATGTGCCATGCCGCGAATGTGCTCTATAGCGTTGTGGATCGAGTCCTCCTTTGCACCCGAGTCCTGACCAAACTGATCTGGATCTTATAATCGAGCTGCCACAGCACATAGTAGCTGCCCTAGAGCTAATTGACACGGGAACATGCCAGGAGGACGCGCCGCGGAACGTCCCAAAGGACGCGCCAGGCGACGTGCCAAGGGACGTGCCACGAAGACGCACCGCGGGACGTGCCGAAGGGACGCGCTACGGAAAGCGCCACTGGACGTGCCAATGGACGTGCCAGGAGACGCGCCGCGCGACGTGCCAGGGGGACTCACCACAGGACGCGCCACTGAACGTGCCAGGTTGCAATGCTAAGTGTATCGATCTTGATGTACCATGCCGAGGCCTGTGCTGTGCTGCGCTGTGCTGAACTGCGATGTGCCATGCCGCGAATGTGCTCTATAGCGTTGTGGATCGAGTCCTCCTTTGCACCCGAGTCCTGACCGAACTGATCTGGATCTTAAGCTCGAGCTGCCTCAGCACATAGTAGCTTCCCCAGAGCTAATGGACAGGGGGACATGCCAGGAGGACGCGCCGCGGAACGTCCCAAGGGACGCGCCAAGCGACGTGCCAAAACGTGCCACGGGGACGCACCGCGGGACGTGCCGAGGGGGCGCGCTACGGAACGTGCCAATGGACGTGCACCGCGCGACGTGCCAGGCGGACTCGCCACGGGACGCTCCGCGGAACGTGCCAGGCAACATGCCAGGCTGCAATGCTAGGGGTATCGATATTGTTGTACCGTGCCGAGGGCTGTGCTGTGCCTGGGCGACCTGGACACGTGCAAACACGCGTTTCGCTCAAGACGTTCTCAGTACATCCTCATGCTAGACATCCGCCTGGGCAACCTGGACACGTGCAAACAAGCGTCTCGATCCAGACTTTCTCGACACATCCTCATGCTAGACATCCGCCTGGGCGACCTGGACACGTGAAAACTAGCCTCTGGTTCGAGACATCCTCAACAAAGCCTCATGCTAGACATCTATCTGCCTGGGCAACCTGGAGGCGTGAAACCAAGCGTTTCGCTCGAGACATCCTCAAGACCTGGGCACGTGAAAGCAAACATTTCACTTTAGAGATCCTCTGAATTCAGGCCCCCAGGAGAGGACAAGCTATAACACAAAACAAGCGTTTCGCTCGAGACATCCTTAACAAATTCTGGACACAACAAAAAAACGTTTCGCTCGAGACGTCCTCAAATTTTAATTCGCCGGCCCTACGCGACCTCGTTATGTATCGCAAAAGAAATTCGCCGGCCCTACAGCCGTCTGATCCGGGGGTCAACCTCTACAAGAGAACCCTGGGCCCAAGCCCTTTCCGGGAAAAACCTTCGAGCCTTCGGCCCTAAGACGCCCCCAGCCTGCCCCAAGAACACCCCAAGAGGCCTGAGGGACCCCCAAGAGAACACCTCCAAGGCATCCAAGAAGCCCCCAGGAAGCTCCCAAGAGGCCCCAAAACTTGGCCCAAGATGCCTCGAGGCGGCCGGATATGGCCGGCAGACAGGCCAAGATGCCACCAGAAGGCCACAAAGGAGCACCAAAAGGTACGATAACAGCAACGAAGCAACAGGAACGATGTCGAGCGCCGTGTCATGATTCGGACAAGCCTCGTGAAATGCAGTCCTGGAGACGCAATCGTTTATATGGGGGTCGGCGGATGTGGCGTCAGCCTGGAGAATCACATAAAAGGGCTCCAAGAGACTTCAATCAGCCCTCCCGTTTCCTGCGGTCTGACTATGTCACCTGTTTAGCCAGCGCGTTCCAGACGAGTCTTCCCGGAACGCGTTTTCCTCCTCCTCGTCCTCGGTTTCCTGAGATTCCTGCTGCCGCGCCCTGCTACTGCTGCTACGTTCTCCGCGTCCTCCTCCTGTAGCCCCTCCTCCTCGTCCTCCTCCTCGTCCTCCTCCTCCACCGCTGCGACCTCAGAGGCCCGAGGCACCGAAACCCTGCAAAAACACAGCAAAATGAAAGCCTGCAGTCGTTCCTGGAGCCATCTTGGAGCCCTCTGGGGCTGGCCGGGAGCCTGTTTGAGCCCACTGGGGAATGATCAGAAAGCTATCTCCGAGGCTCTCAAAGATGTCTGAGCCCATGGCGGCGGGCTCCCAAGCCCAGGACGCGGAAACCCTGGAAAAACACAAGGTAAATGAGGACCGGCACCCACTACTGCAGCCATCTTGGGGCCCTGTTGGGCTAGCCTGGAGCCTGCTGGAGGCCTCTGGGAAATAGACCTGGGGCTATGTCCGTGGGCCTTCAAAATGTCTGGGCCCACCGCTGCGACCTCGGAGGCTGGAGGCACCGAAACCCTGCAGAAACACTGGAAAAATGAGAGCCTGCAGTCGTGCCTGCCCGCGCCGAGGATCTGGAAAATGTCTGGGACCGAATAAAAAATAGCGTCGCCTCCGGAGTGTGAGGCCCCGGACCCGACACCCAGTTAAAAAACACCAAAGGAAAAATGAACCCCGGTAACTCCCATATGGAATGTGTACGAGGCATCTGTTTACGGGCCCCGGCCGCCCCCCCCGTGAATCCAAGAAAAATAAATATAATATTATATATATATATATATATAAAAATACACACACAGATACCTTATAAATATAAATATAAATAAATCTAAATGGCTTCTCTCACCTGTATATTGTGCACTTCCGCCTGTAGCATGTCCAAGCCCAGGAAAAATCTCTGGGGCTTACTCAGAGGCCTTGGCGTCATTCCAGGAGTTGGGAGAGGTCCCGTCCCTTCAGCGGCATCCAAGGGCCTCCCAACCCGCCTGGCACAGCCGTGGCGCTTAAGCACCCGCGCTGCGTCCCAGACGCGCTGACACCCTTGCACCGCCGGGAGGTTACACGTCACCAACCCCTGAACCCCCTAGCTCTCTCGTCCTGGCAAATACTCGCGCGGAGGCAGGCACGGCCACGCGCGAGACGGTAGCAATGCTGCCCCCTGTCTGTGGGTGGGCCAACACAGCTACGGCAGATGGATGAAACTCAACCGTTATCCATCAACGGCGTCGCGCACGCTCAGGTGGACTCCGCATAGGTTTCCTTGGAAGGTTCATATATGCTTCTCTCACCTGTTTTTTGTGCACTCCGCCAGGGAGCTTGTCAGGCCAGGACCTCTGGGGGCTACTCAGGG